CTTGGGAATCAACCTGGGAACAACCAGGGATGATCCCAAATAATTCCAAGCAACAGAACCAACCTGGCTGGACAAAATAGCAGGTGGTAGGTTGGTAAACAACCTCTGGTTCTGTTTTTCCAACCTGGGAAAACAACAACCAGGTTCAGGTTCTAAAAACAGAACCTGTTTTGTCTTTGCCCAACCAGCCAAATGCTGGTTCCGCTGGTTTCCCCTGGCCTTGTAGCATGCAGATACAGACAAACAACATCCAACCTTCACCTAAATTGTACCCCTATAGTGCCTTCCCTGCTACACTATAGTTAACCAAACAAAACAGTACAATTTCGAGTTGGATAGAACTGAATCTGCGCAATCAACTCAACCGAACTGCAAAGCTTCCATCTTGGGTTCCTTTGCGAGCTCGTCCTTTCTGCTTGCACTGTTCATAGCGCGTACAATGTTGTGCCGAAGCGCACATTGCGCGAGTACCTGCAAATGCATCAAGCGAAAAATGCGAAAGCAAACAAACACACGAACACACCATTCACACGCAAATGCATACGCATACTTGTACAAACAGACGGCAGGATGTCGTGCAATGTGCATTTGCACCCAACAGTTAAGGGTCTGAAGCTGAACGGACAGCCACCCGATTGCAACTGTGAAATCTGTTTGCTTTCAAAGTTCACCCGTTTCCCTTTCCATAGTGTGGCTGGCAGGAGCAAGAAGCCTTTGGAGCTGGTCCACATGGACTTGGTGGGGCCGCTGCCGGTGCAAGGGCACAAGGGGGAGCGGTATTTTCTTACAATTGTGGATGACTGGAGCAGGCTGATGTGGGCGTATCCGCTGAAGCAGAAGGACCACGCCGCCTCCACGATACGGGACGATTGGCTGCCATTCGTGGAGAAGCAGGCGGAGTGTGTAGTGAAGCGGATTAGGACAGACCGGGGTGGTGAGTTCCTTGGAGCTGAAATGACGGCCTGGCTCAAGAAGCAGGGCATCCAGAGAGAGCTGACCACGGCTTATACCCCACAGTCCAATGGTGTAGCAGAACGGGCAAACCGGACCATTCTGGAGACAGCTAGGGCGCTGCTCATAGAATCTGGGCTGAGCAATTCTATGTGGCCTCATGCTGTCCGGCACGCCACTGTCGCTAGGAACAGGGTGCTCACCAAGGTTGGGGATGACTCGTGGGTGCCGTTGGAGAGGTGGCTTGGGAGGAAGCCACCGGTGGACATGCTGAGGGTGTTCGGTTGCATGGCAGTCGCCCACGTCCCCAAGACCTACCGCAGTAAGTTGGGGGCGAGTGCAATCTGGTGTGTGCATTTGGGGCTGGCTGCTGAGAGCAAGGGATGGCTGCTGTGGGAACCATCCAAGGGTGTGTTGTTTGACAGCAGGGATGTGAAATTCATTGAGGGCATGATGTATGGGAGCTGGGAGAAACAGCCGGAGGCAAGGGTGTCCCAGCAGATGGAACAGATCACCATGCAGCTGGACCTGACTCCTAGTGTGTGGGAGGAGGGAGAGGAGGCAGCTGCTGGAAATGGTGATGGAGAGAAGGTACAGGAGGCATCTGCTGGTGGAGAAAATGGTGTGGAAACTGGCGGCAGCACTAGTGGAGCTGCTGGACCCGAGGGAGGAGAGAAGCAGCAGGGAAAAACTAAGAAGCCGAAGGGTGTCGTTATGAAGGGATGGGAGACACCCGTCTCCAGGCCAGGACGTACCCGTATGGCTACTAAGAAGCTGACTGCAGGAACTGATGCAGCAGAGCAGCAGCTAGGGACCGAAGAGGCATTGCTGATTCTACCTCATGGCTATAACCAGGATGAGGAGGATGAGCCTGCGTACTGTTTTCTTGCCCCTGCACCAGAGGAACCAGCTAGCATGGAGGAGGCATTAGCTGGACCAGATAGGGACAAGTGGCTGGCTTCTAGGGATGCTGAGTACCAGAGTCTGCTGGAGAATAGGACATGGGATCTGGTGGTGCTGCCTGATGGGAAGAAAGCGATACAATGCAAGTGGGTGCTGAGGATCAAGACCGATGACAAGGGGCAGGTCACCATCTACAAGAGTAGGCTGGTGGCGAAGGGGTTTATGCAGAAGGAGAAGCAGGACTTCAACGAGATCTTTGCTCCCACTGCCAAACCCCCTACCCTCCGTGTCTTGTTGGCAGATGCAGCCGTTAGTGGGAAATTCATCATTCAGATGGATATTTCAACGGCATTTCTGAATGGGATTTTAGAGGAGGATGTGTACATGACGCAGCCGCCTGGGTATGAGGATGGTACGGGCAGGGTGTGCAAGCTCAACAAGTCCATCTACGGCTTGAAGCAGGCGCCACGCTGTTGGTACCAGAAGTTGGCAGCTGTTTTAGAGGAGATGGGATTCAGGACCAGCAGCTGTGATGAGAGCCTCTTTCTCAAGGGCGAGGGGGAGAAGCTGGTGCTGTTTCTGGTCTACGTGGACGACATTCTTCTTTTCAGCAGCAGCATGAAGGAGATCCAGAAAGTGCAGCAGCAACTGATGGAAAACTTCAAGTGCAAGAACCTTGGGGAGGTAAAGTACTACCTCGGGATGCACGTGGAGAGGGATCCTGATCACAGGTGGTTGAAGCTGCACCAGGAGAAGTTCATCAAGGAGCTGGGGGAGAAGTATGGGATTGAGAATGAGCGCAAGGTTGCAACTCCCCTGCCAGCAGAATTCAAGCTTGTGAAGGCTGCAGAGGATGAAGGGGTTGAAGCCGAGGAGCAGCAGCAATTTCAGTCCTTGGTGGGCAGCCTCTTGTACGCAGCAGTTCACACGAGGCCCGACATCTCTTTCTCGGTTGGGCAGCTGGCTAGGGTGGTGCAGAATCCATCAGAGGAGCAGGTGGATGCAGCTGAGCGTGTGGTGAAGTACCTGAACTCTCACCCAAGCATTGGAGTTCAATACTCCGCATCTGCACAGGTGAAGCAGAAAGGGGTGGAGGTGCTGAAAGAGAAGGGGGAGAGGCTTGGAGAAGGCAAGCTATTTCTCACTTGCTTTACCGATGCTACATGGGCTTCTGAGAAGGAGGATTCCTCATCTGTGGGAGGATACATCTGCGTAGTTGGGGGAGGACCTGTTAGTTGGAGGTCCAAGAAGCAGACGGAGACGGCACTCTCTTCCGTAGAATCAGAGTACATGGCGATGTTCCATGGGGTGAAGGAGGTGATTTGGCTGAGGAGGCTGTTAGAGGAGATTGGCCAGGAGCAGAAAGTTGCTACGCCGCTGTTTTGTGATAGCAAGGGGGCTCTTGGGATGGCCAGGAACGCTGTGCTTCATGGCCTGAACAAGCACATGCGTATCAAGTGGCACTGGCTGCGTAAGGAGGTGAAGAGGGGGACGGTGCATCCGATCTACATCAAGACTCACCAGCAGCCAGCAGACTTTCTCACCAAGAGGCTTGCGGATGAGCCTCATTGGCGTTGTGTGCGCATGAGTGGAATGAGCATGAACTAGCATGGAATGATGGGGATGCAGCCGGCAGGCTGAGGGGGAGTGTGTTGGGTGCAAATTTACATTGAACGACATCCTGCCGTCTGTTTGTACGAGTATGCGTGTGCGAATGCATTTGGGTGTGAATGGAATGTTCGTGTGTTTGTTTGCTTTCGCAATTTTTGCTTGATGCATTTGCAGGTACTCGTGCAATGTGCGCTTCGGCACAACATTGTACGCGCTATGAACAGTGCAAGCAGAAAGGACGAGCTCGCAAAGGAACCCAAGATGGAAGCTTTGCAGTTCGGTTGAGTTGATTGCGCAGATTCAGTTTTATCCAACTCGAAATTGTACTGTTTTGTTTGGTTAACTATAGTGTAGCAGGGAAGGCACTATAGGGGTACAATTTAGGTGAAGGTTGGATGTTGTTTGTCTGTATCTGCATGCTACAAGGCCAGGGGAAACCAGCGGAACCAGCATTTGGCTGGTTGGGCAAAGACAAAACAGGTTCTGTTTTTAGAACCTGAACCTGGTTGTTGTTTTTCCCAGGTTGGAAAAACAGAACCAGAGGTTGTTTACCAACCTACCACCTGCTATTTTGTCCAGCCAGGTTGGTTCTGTTGCTTGGAATTATTTGGGATCATCCCTGGTTGTTCCCAGGTTGATTCCCAAGGTCCTTGCTAGCTAGAACTATTTAATCCTTCTCTGTTTGTACCTGAATATAGTAAAATTGATTCAAGCGAATTCCTTCCTCGCTGGAATTTCGTTTCTGCGCTATTCGACGGCGGAATGCTACCCGAGTCAACGCTAGTATGCTAGCACTCCAACGCTAGGCAAACGCTGTCCGAGCCAGAACTTAGTAATGGCAGAACTTTTCGCGAGGCAACTTGGCTCATTTTAAAGCTCTTGGAGCGAGCTTCGATATAGCGAATTCTCAGCTTAATCCGACCGACGGTCTGCACGGCACGCTGCGCGACGTTCAAGGTACTCTTGCTGTTTTGACTAAGTCCTTCTTGATCCCTCTCTCTACAAACTCGGACCCGAGGATAGGGGCTGGTCTTGTACCAGGCACCCAGGGACCCTTGGAGGTGACCCCGAGGAGAGGTTTTAAGTTTGATTAAGTCCTAATAGCTTGAGTTTATTAGGCCCTTACACCAACAGGCACGAATCTGCCTCAGGGCCCGATTCGTCACGACCCTCAGGGCGAGAATCTGCTGCGGGGGCAGCGCAATCACGACCCTGAGGGAGCGGATCTGCCCCCTGGATTTCGAGGGCCTCAGGGGGCCCACAATTTCGCCCCACGTTCTGGGAGCTGTTAGAGTTTCCCGCCCGCGCCAGCAGCAGCGACAAATCCAGCGGATTTCGCCACGCTCCTGGCGAATCTTGACCCAGCAGCATAGCGCGAGCTCCGGAATGTGCTCGAGCAATTCGCACCTTCACAAGATTGCGCTATGGATCGATCCGTTACGTCGTCGAGGCCGATACACTCTGCTCAGTAGCCGTCGGCAAATGCTGCTGCTAATATCAACATCGCAAATAATGACAACGTCATTGAACAGGCGATGGTGCTCCTCGCGGCAGTGCAGCAGGGAGCAGCGAACTGGTGTACGCCTCCTCCGGAGCCCAACCGACCCGCAGGACAATCGGCACGGGCGCCCAACCAGCCCCCACCAATGGCGCACGACGTGAATGACAATCCCGCCGCCGCCCTCGTCGACTCCGACGACGAAGGTAATCCTCACGCTCGCATTGCTGTCCCATCCAATGCTGCTGCTGCCCTTGCACCTATTCCACCTGCCCCTCCGCAGCTTCGATCCGCACTAGTTAAAAGCGATGGCATCCGCACTCAGATTTTTAGCTTTGAACGCATTGAGCTTATTGCCCGCCACGCGCTCGCAGCCCTCTTCGCCTCAGTTGAAGGTCATGAGCAGGTTGCAACTTACTTGAAGGACATCATAGAGGAGGCGCAAGAAAAGATCACATTTTTGTTTACCGCCGATCAACGTGGATTTGAAGTGGCGAACATGGCGCCAAATATAAAACATGGGGAGGTGGTGGAGTAAAAGACGGTCAAAGCTGCCACCCAAATCGTTGCAGCCAGCAAAAAGAGCCGGCGTGACCGTTCAGCAGCCTCCGCCCCACGCTTTGGCTCTCAATCTCGGAATAGGGGCCAAGGCAAGCGCCAGTTTACTTGGCGTCGGGAGGGAGACGGGCGATGTTTTTAGTGCCGCGAGCCCGGCCATGGGATTGCGCAATGCCCTCAGCGCGGCCAAGGTGCCAATCAGCCTGGCCTTGTGGTTTAAAGATATAAGACCCAATCGCTTGTTGCTTTGAATCTGTTACAAAAAAAAAAGGAAAAAGAGTTATCATTATTATTATTATTATTGCCTGTCGAGCAAGGTGCCACTCGTTGAGCCGCTACACTTTACATCTCAGCATTAATAAGGTGCCTTTATGGCGCGGCCCAAGCGCATAGCCGGCTTGCTCTTGAAGGATGGTTCTATATCGACATAAAGAGAGGGAGATGGAAGAGATGTTTTGGGCCTTGGCAATACAAAGAGGCCGTATATATGTACGTATATAGATACATTTATATATAAAAAAATAAATTACAAGGATGCGTCCCACTTGTTAAGTCTAAGTACTATGCGGAAGCGATTAAAACTGAGCCACGAACTCAAACTTGGCAACACTTAACTTCACTTTAAACCCTCCGAGTATGACAGCTTGTCACCTCATAGCCAAGGGCGAAAGAAAATTAAAGTGAGTAGTTATGCCTTGCTTGGTTGTGGAGTGAGGAATCTGGTCGAGCAGCGTTTCGGCGTCACCACGTAATGTTTCTACTCTCGTCAATACGTAGTAGTGGAATTCAAGGCTTGGAAAGCGTAATTGCATTGATTGAAAAACGAACAAATGCAAGCACACATTTATATTAAGTCCTAAACACACAAAGGAAAACATAAAGCAGTTGCTTAACTGGAATCCAGGCCTTCGCTTTGCTGTAATAGAAAACGGTTGTGAAACTGCTGAAGAATTTGGCTCAATCTGTCTCATTAGAATTAACTGTAATCCACTTGAATTGAAACCAAACTCCCTTGCTGACTCCGTCACGAGTATTCATAAGTTCTCGTGTGTGATCATGAATACTCGTGTGGAATTCCCGTTTCCCAGTTGTAAAAAGGATTGTACCATTGGTAAAACGGTATTTACCGTTTTGTACCTGCGTCGAAATGATCACGCTAAGCAGCGTGACTTTCGTGCGAAGTCGAATGTTCTCCAGGTCAGAGCGGGATACGGTTGGTCAACCGTAACCCCGTGGCACCCCCAGCCAAGCGAGAAAAGCCGATCGCTGACGCGATCGTGCTTTGTCCCACGTGAGACAGGGCATTCAATTGCCCTGTCTTGTTGCGATCGTGCAACTGTGCACGGTCGCAGCAGTTGCGACACACGCGTGAGCCTTGAGGGGCCACACGCGTATGTCAGGACCCCACGCGCGGGTCCTGACTTTCGCGCACTTTTTGAACAGCGCGACATTGGTCAAAGGGCCCGGTCAAGAAACACTCGAGCCCAGCACCTCCCGACACACTCACGCATGGTAGTTCATGAAAATTAACAAACGAACATCAGTTGTCACGAGAATTCATGACTCGTCATGATCCGTCATGACTTGTCATGTAACCACAACAAAAACACATGAAACAGAATGCAGAAACGAATGCGCACAGAACACGGACAAAATGTTGGACCTCATGCAGGCGGCTGGTTGACGTGCAAAATTAATATTTGCACCCAACACCACTTCCAGCGGATGAATTATTGTTGGGATGCCAACCTCCAAAAAGAGAGAGAGAGAGAGAGAGAGAGAGAGAGAGAGAGAGAGAGAGAGAGAGAGAGAGAGAGAGAGAGAGAGAGGAACGGAAAGAAGAGGAGAGCACCGGCCTATCCAGTCATCTAGGAACGTGGCGTTGGCATGAAACACGGGACGCCATACATATGATCACAGCCATTTTTCTCCATTCGCTGTTAACATATACCGTTGAGGTGGTGGAAAGAAAAGAATGATGCCAGCGTATGCGAATTAGACTCCGCGTTGGAAAATGATAGTCTCCGATCAGCGTGCGCATGCATGCTAAAATAATACAAATCAGGCTTTGTGCTTGCAAGTCGTCGTTGTACCTTGCTGTCATTAGTCCTTCAAAGCTTCCTTCTGGATAAGACGGTCACGCTGACGACACTTCTGGTCTGTTTTCAGATCGTGCGTCACATTTTCCCGTTACGGAGGATCACGATAACATTCACATTCGCGGTCGCCTCCAGCACCGTTCCTCGTGGTGGGCCACTTGGTATGACAGTCATTCTATTCTATCCATCGTATCTCGTGGCTATCGTCTACCCTGGGCAATGGGCGAGCCTGCCACTCACCATGCGTCTAATCACCAAGGGGTCAACCAACACCTTAGTTTCACCGCAGAGGCGATACAAGAGTTGATATCAATAGGGGCTGCGCGTCCGGTCCCATCAGAACACTCCCTTACTTGCATTAGCCCGCTCAACGTAGTGGTTCAACCATCGATTTAAAGATTGATATTGGACCTGCGCCACGTCAACTCATTCCTCGCCCTACAACGTTTTCGTTACAAAGGGCTCAATCGTGTTGGTTCAATAAGGCGATTGGCTTATGAACATCGACTTGAAGTCTAGATATCACCACGTCGACATCCACCCGGACTACCGGCGCTTCTTGGGCTTTGCATTCGCCGGCCAAACGTATCAATTTCTCTCATTGACATTCGGCCTTTTGTCAGCACCTTTTGTCTTTACCCGACTCATTAAGCAATTGGCTAAGCGGTGGCGCAGTAGGGGCGTTCGCCTCATTCCATACGTGGACGACATCTTGTTGATTTGCCCCACGTGTGCCGCGGCACTCGAAACTCGAGCGTCCATACTTAAGGATCTTCGATCCGCTGGCTTCTTGGTCAACTACAAGAAGTCACAATTGGAACCCACTCACTCTCTCAAGTTTTTTTGTCTAGTCCTTGACACACAGTCAATGACATTCTCAATCGACGCAGCTCGCAAGGCACGTTTGTTTTCCGAGTTGGATGACATATGCTCCAATAGCACCGCCGGCCGACCGGTCCCGATCCGCCGCGTTGCACGCATCACGGGCATGCTAGCCTCAATGACGCCGGCTCTCGGTGCACTTGCTCGTGCGTTCTCCCATAGCTTGCTCTCGCAAATCGCTGATTGTCACTCTTGGGGTCAGACAGTATTGTTGTCACCGGCGTCACTTGATGAGCTTAAGTTTTGGCTGACCCAGTTTGATCCTCTTAAGCGCGACATTCCACAATTCTCACACCTTTGACTTCGTTTTGTACGTCGACGAAAGCGATCATGCATGCGGCACCTTGTATTCTACTCCATCCGACATAACGTACAAACTCTCGTCCCCGATGCCCGTAAGCATCCGCTCCGCTTTTAGTACTCGTCGAGAATTGGTTGGCTTCTTATGGGCCTTATCTTCTTCGCGCATGACTTCCGTCGGTGCCACGTTCTCCTTCGCACCAACAGCCAAGCGGCGTACTTCATTATGTGAAAGGGCGGCTCACGTCGGCAAGAGCTCACATTGATATGCCGAGGCATTATTCAACTTTGTGTACACCTCAACATCCGACTATCGGTGCAGTGGATACCCCGCGAACTCAACGAAGAAGCCGATGCGCTATCCAAAATTGAACTCCACGACGTTTTTTCGCTGGCTCGCCATGGTTTTCCCTATTGGAGGAACGCTGGGGACCCCATACCATTGATCTTTTCGCCTCCCCGTCGAATCGCCGCCTCCGCAGGTTCTGCTCCCCATTCTATCACCGCGACGCTTTCATACAGGATGCATTTTCCATTAGGTGGGGTGCAGACAACTGCTATGCTTTTCCGCCTCCGACCTTGATCCCAGCAGTTCACTCTCGTGCACGGCGCTCGCGGGCGGATCTCACCCTAATCGTCCCAGAGTGGCCAAGCTCATTTTGGTGGCCACTCGTCCGCCCCACCCCTTCCTCCAGGGCCCCATTCATATGGGAAGCCCAACGCCTATCACTAAGTTCAGATTCCCTGGAGATTGGTTCAGACAGCCAAGCGTTTAGCGGCGCAGGTCTGCCTAACTCCCCCATGTAAGCTCTTCGTATAAGCTTTACTGATAGCATCTAAATTTTGCTTGTATGCAGGATCTTATATTGGACGCCTAATTCTTTGTCAAACTATGCATGTTATACTTGTGTAGGCTGTAGTGGGGTAGCCCATATGGGGTACAACCCAATTAGGGTTTACTACTTGTACTCCTGCATGCTGCTAGTTCATCCATTCTCGCCTAGACATTCTGATATGGTATCAGAGCGGTTCGTCCTTTAGGACCGTTCTTGGGCCCACCGAACGCATGCCTACCTGCGATTACCGCGCTGCCCCACACGCGCCCTGCCTTGCCTGCCCGTCGCGTCGCCCTAAGCCCGCGCCCGGCCCCCTGCCTGCCCGTCGCGTCGCCCTAAGCCCGCGCCCGGCCCCCTGCCTGCCCGTCGCGTCGCCCTAAGCCCGCGCCCGGCCCCCTGCCTGCCCGTCGCGTCGCCCTAAGCCCGCGCCCGGCCCCCTGCCTGCCCGTCGCGTCGCCCTAAGCCCGCGCCCGGCCCCCTGCCTGCCCGTCGCGTCGTCCTAAGGCCCGCGCCCGGCCCCCTGCCTGCCCGTCGCGTCGCCCTAAGCCCGCGCCCGGCCCCCTGCCTGCCCGTCGCGTCGCCCTAAGCCCGCGCCCGGCCCCCTGCCTGCCCGTCGCGTTGCCCTAAGCCCGCGCCCGGCCCTTTGCCTGCCCGTCGCGTCGCCCTAAGCCCGCGCCCGGCCCCCTGCCTGCCCGTCGCGTCGCCCTAAGCCCGCGCCCGGCCCCCTGCCTGCCCGTCGCGTCGCCCTAAGCCCGCGCCCGGCCCCCTGCCTGCCCGTCGCGTTGCCCTAAGCCCGCGCACGGCCCTCTGCCTGCCCGTCGCGTCACCCTAAGCCGCGCACGGCCCCCTGCCTGCCCGTCGCGTCGCCCTACAGCCCACGCCCGGCCACCTGCTTGCCCGTCACGGTGCTCTTAGGCCCGCGCGACCCCGCCCTACCGCAGCAGCGGCTTCGCCGGGTAGCGGCCCCGCTGCCGCCGACGCGGCCCCGTCCTACCACTGCCGCCGACACTGCCCCGCCCTGCAGCTGACGCGGCCTTCCTCTGCAGCCAGGTTTGCGCCCCGCTCCCTGCCACGCGCCGGCCCTCCCTGCCACCGGTGAGCACGCTGCTGCGCCGCCTGCCTGCCTGCCTGCCTGCCTGCCTGCCCGCTGCGCTGCTGCTCCTACTACCCGTGCTGCTCCTCGCGGTAGCCAGATGCAGCTCCAGTGCCGTCCGCGTGCGAGTCTCTCACGCCCCAGCAGCTTCGTGAGTGGTACGCTAGTTGGGGTTGTGGCGGGAGCCGTCGTGGCTGTCGCACTGCAGCAGGGCGGTCGGGAGCGTCTGGTAGTGGCCAGCTGCAGCTGCAGCGGCGTCCGAGCGAGACACTTTCACCCCAGCAGCTTCGTGAGTGGTACGCTCAGAGTAGAGGGTCTCGGAGTACCGTTCGCTGCCCGTACGTCATTCGCACAGGTGCTCGGACTGGTCAGACATGCAGGACGCCTGGTCACACACAGTCCCGCTGCTTCGCCCGTCTGAGCGACGCCTGGCGTACCGTGTTTGGCGATGAGGCTGAGCTCCCCACCTAGTTGGAGCTGCTTAGGCAGAGGGTAGATATCTTTGCTCTTGACTATGATGCTATTCTCACTGCCATGTATGCATTGCCTACTAGTACGGACGGTGCCTGTTACCTGTGCGTACCGCCTGACCCTGGTATAGAGCCTGCTGCTCTTGGTGCTGGTGAGGCTGCTGCTCTAGGTGCTACTGCGTCTTCTGCTCTAGGTGCTGGTGAGGCTGCTGCTCTAGGTGCTCGTGCGTCTCCTGCTCTAGGTGCTGGTGAGTCTGCTCTTTCTGGTACTGCGCCTGCTGCGGTCTTGCACACCTTCACCCTTGACTCAGGAGCTTCCCGCTCCTTCTTTCGCGACTACACCACACTCACGCCGCTTAGTCGGCCCGTTGCAGTCTCCCTGGCGGACCCCTCTGGGGGTCCTGTCCTTGCCCACTACTCCACGGTTCTGCCGTGTCCAGCTGCTCCGTCTGGCTCGCTGTCAGGTCTCTACCTCCCCTCATTCTCTACGAACTTGGTGAGTGGAGCTGACCTCCAGGATGGCGGGGTTGACCAGTTCACTCCTGCGAGTCAGCGAGTGACTCACTGTACGTGTGCTCGGACGGGCCGACACTTGGCCACGTTTACCCGTGCGCCTGGCTCGAGTCTGTACACACTGACCACTGTGGCCCCTTAGGTTGCTGCGTCTGCATCTGCGTCTGCGTCAGGTCAGCTGGCGGCCCCCTGCTCGTGTCGCGCTTTGTCGCACCAGACCCTCCTTTGGCACCACCGCCTTGGTCACCCCTCGGTGCAGCGCCTTCGTAGCATGCACCGCCGTGTCCTTGTCTCTGGTCTTCCCAGGGTTCTCCCTCCCCTCCCACCCTCGCCTGCTCCTCCCTGTCTTCCCTGTGTCGAGGGGCGGCAGCGCGCCGCTCCTCACTCCTCCTCGTTCCCTCCCACAGAGGCTCCCCTGCAGACTCTCCACCTGGACGTGTGGGGCCCAGCCCACGAGCGGTACTTCCTGCTGGTCGTCGATGACTACACGCGTTACACCACGGTCTTCCCCTTGCAGCGCAAGGGGGATGTCCCTGCTGTTTTGATCCCTTGGATCCGCGCTGCCCGTCTCCAGCTCCGCGAGCGGTTCGGGACGGAGTTTCCCGTCCTGCGTCTGCACTCTGACAGAGGTGGTGAGTTCTCCTCAGACCTCTTGGCAGCCTTCTGTGCAGAGCACGGCATCCGTCAGACGTTCACGCTTCCGGCCTCTCCACAGCAGAATGGGGTTGCTGAGCGCTGCATTGGCTTAGTCATGGAGGTCGCTCGTACCTCCATGATCCATGCGGC